AAAAATCTGGCCCAAAATTTTGCGTATTGTGCTTTGTTCTTACAATATTCATTATGGTTATGATTTATAAGTTGTGCACTGAGACAAAACCATACTAAATGAGGAAGGTGCACCATTATGAAAGTGGAACGAACTCAGTCGCCTGAAAAGGGTAGTTTGAGCATGTGTGGCCTAAATAAGCTAAACCCCCCTCCCTTACCTTATTTAGGCCATATGTGGCCTAAATAAGCACCCCCTTCATTATTTTGACGAGCGCCTGATTTCACCACGATGCCTCACTTATTGTCTCTTTGAGCATATTTTCATAGGGGAAGTGCTATTCTATTGTTGATAAATTATCTATTTGGAATTACTTGAAACTGAATAAAAACTATTATTAGCATTCAATATCTTGTCCATTACAGCTGACTAAAAGTGACCGGTTCCGTCGGTCTTGCCCAGATGACAAACCGCCCCTGGCAACTAGCCATGCCCCAGTGAGACATTCGCCGACTCACAAAACACACCCAAGTGTAGGGTCTCTCTGTAAAGCCCGAAGTTGTGTTAATTCGTCGATTATAAACACAAGTGAGCTATCCGCAAAACCACTGTTTTGAGAAAATCGAAGGTAAAGTTTTTGCCCCTTGTTCGGTTTCTTTAAAAAGGCAAGGAGAGTTTTCTCTATAACCAAACAAATATACACACCAATTAAACAAAACTTCTCCTATAGGTATGACAATGCCCACTTTTGGTGGAGATCAAAATTTCTGGAAACCCCCGAGATCTGGGTCAATCCGCTTGTCCTTAAAAGCGACCAATTAAAGGCAGGCCTATGCTAACGTCATTAGTAGGCCTATTGCAATACGACACCAGGTTTCTCCTTCTGTTCAACCCCTGTCTCTTAATGGCCACCCGACAGCTAGTTAAATATGGGAACATCGTTTTATGTCATCGAACTAATGACTCGACACACGCTGAAAAAAACCCATAGCTCTTTAATGGAAAGTTTTGTCACTCGCACACTCGATTAAAAATTTTAAAAAATCCATCAAAACGGCGCCTATGGTGTAACGGTTAGACGCTTATCTGTCGCATGCAGGTCACCCGGGTTCGATTCCAGAGTGTGTGTGTGTGTGTGTGTGTGTGTGTGTGTGTGTGTGTGTGTGTGGGGGGGGGGGGTTATCGGGTAGGAAGTGGTTATTGAGAATAACTTATGCCTCGCTATTCTTACCCCCTCCCTTGTTTTACCGGAAATGACCCAAAAGGGATCAGGGCTGAGGTTACCGGGCCTGATGCCCCACAGGATCATGTTGGTGTCCGTGAATAGACATACATCTAGATCTAGACACAGTCGGGGTTGTCAAACTGGAGCCAAATCCCCAGAAATTTGGCTCTTTTGGATCGCGGAGAATTTCGTTTGACTCTCTAGCTCTTTTTTTACTCTCAACTCCAAATGTTGAAGAAGAAGGGGACAGAAGAGGCAAGAAAAAGACAAGAAAAGGAAAGAACAAAAGGGAAAAAAAATGAAAATGAAGAAAAGAGCTTGGATTTCTTAAAATGATTAAACTAGTTAACACGATTTAACGCCCTCGCCCATTTGGTCTGAATAATCTCCAACCCTTCAACCGTCGTGCAAGAGCATAATTAGTCTGTTCCTTGATGAACCATACATCTATTGTGAGTAGACAGGCCAGCCATCGTCAAGTGAGTACACAACGAAAGGTATGGCAGGCACCGGTCCCACATACCCCTCAGTGGCGGTAGTGAGCCCACCC